CAACAGCATTGCTCCTAAGCACCTCGATTTCTGTACATCCATTTCATTGTACCGCCATCAGTTGAATAACCTTGTAATTTACTGATAACATTTTGTTTGTTTATTTGTTTTTGGGTGATGGTAATATACCAACGTGTTTCTAGGATTGAACAGGTGCAACAAAGTGAAGACCGCTGTGGTTGTTTTTGGGCACTGAAAATAAAGTCATTATTATTATTATTATTATTATTATTATTTGCCTATACTAATAATATGCTTGTGGAATATGCATTCGGTCAAGCTTTCATGGGATATATAATTTATTTCATAAATTGATTAGTACTAAAGCTATAATCTTCCAAACCTGGTAACTTATCACGAAACGGGCGGGGATCGCGATTAAAAAGAATATGTATATATTTTTGTGAACAAGTTTAACAATTTTCGCTTTTAATGTAGTTTAACACGCAAGGTAAACGTATTTTGGTAGTGCGGAAGGTGTTTGTGTCTGGAAAAGCATGTACGCGACCTGTGAAGATTCCCCGAAATCTAAAATCTATAATTTAAAACAAATTGAAAAGCTATCTACCGGGTGTCTCAAATAGCGGCCACGCTTTTTAAATCGACAGCAAAAATCGATTTCCTAACTTATTGCGTTACGATTTTGTACAGCGTTGCCCACAAGTGGTGCATGTTTTCACTAAAATTTGCTAAGATCGAACTTACCCGAGGAAAAATAAAAAGAGACAAAGGCTTAACTTTTATGGAAATGTAGCAAAAGCACCGGTCTTCAAACCATAGGGCGCCATATGGTTTGAAGACAGGTGGCTTCGCTGCGTTTTCATAGGACTTAAACCTTTTTCTTGGTTTACCTTTTTTTTTCTGGTAAGATCGATCTTTGCGAATTTTATAGAAAAATACACCACCTGTGGGCGACGCTGCACAAAATCGTAGCTCGATAGGTTAAGAACCCGGTTTTTGCGGTCGATTTCAAGAACCTGGCCGATATTTGATACACTGGGTATGTGACGCCAAAACAGTTTTCAGGTGCTTGCTAGTACAGAATTTGCCCAGCACATATATATTTTTAAAGATTTTGAGACATGATCACTCTTTCCTCTATGATTTAAAATGAAAAAAAAAATTGAGGCTCCAATTCACGCTGTGAAGGTGTTTGAACAGCGAAGCTGTGGTATCTTTTGCAACTATTGCCGGCTGTATTATACACCCTCTTTATGGCAAACGCAACCAAGGGGTACTCTAGTCTTTGACGTCTCAGAGAACTTCCGGTTCATAAAAGTAATGAAGGAAAATTTACCATAGCAACAAGGCCACCTTAACACCGCTGCTTAGAATGAAGATGAAGCGTCTACCCACCGATTCTCCGGGTGGACGCCAAACGAACGCATAAGCGCGAAATCTGTTAAAATGTTTCGAGTATTCTCGTAAACCCACTTCCCTCCTCCAAGATATAATATTGTACAGCCGAAGGCTTTCGTTAAATCTCAAACTTTTTTGTTCATGTAGCCTTTAGGCTATCGAGCACTGGTGACATAAGCAAGCTCAACAGGCTCACCAAGACGTAGCGACCTTAAGCCACTTGGGACGCATGCGGCAGTTCATGTTTGTAAACAGCAAAAGGGCCAATACCAAATGATTGACGAAAGAGAAGTAAATGCAACGTACCAAAACTTTTTTATATGGAAAGACATGGTGCGCTGCCGTTGCTGCGGCAGCTTATACAACTGCAATTTTGACCGAGAGCCGCATGTGGGGAGAGCTACGTGCTTATCACCTATCGCGTAGATTTGACGCTTGTTTGGTGGCTTCCTTATTGAAACAAGTGTCAAAAACACATGATAAAAGGTAAGGCGAGCGCGTGGGTTTTTGGTCGACTATTTTATCTGTCGACTACTGTTCTGTCAAGGGACATGAAAAAACACGACCAACGAGTCATGAATAACTTCGCCGTAAAAGAGCCCGCTTATTAATGTTTACCAACTATAGTGTTCATCCGTAAGTGCAGTATATAAATGATATACTTTTATGTTGCCTTTGAAAAGATTAATGTATAAACTTAAAACCTTGCACAGCATTCTTGTTTGCTCCTACAAATAAGCTCTGCACAATTGAGAGAAAAGTAAAAATAGGCGAAGTGTCACTAGCTCTGTCTCCTTCGACAACTTCAGTGCAGGTAGGCTTCAGCCATGTGTGGACATGTCATAACCTTAGTGTTTTTAAAATTTCGAATTCTAAGAGCACGAAACAGCTTTGAATCATGGCGGAATAAAATGGATGAATTCCTTGGCTTTAGTTTCTAGGCAATAAGTTGATGTGTACACTCGGTTTCCGCTTAGGTACAGACGCAGTCGACTCTACGAGCTAATGGGGCTAATCAGGAAGCATGAAAAGCTAAAGTCACTGGTCGTTGTCTGTTTATGATTGATGAAGTGATGATAGGATACGCACAAAAACATCACGAACAGCATAACGGGGCGTTTTGGACGGATTGGAGAGCATTTCCTCGTAGCGTTGGCTGCGTCGGCACTTAATTTTTAAATGGTACCGGATAGGGCTAAAACTAGACTCCATCTTTAATTAATGTTCAGTCGTTTCTTAGAAGTAGCCCTGACTCTACGGTTGTCCTTTTTCGGTCATTTTTTATTTATGTGATTTTAGGGGGGATTAAGATGCGATCACAGATTTTTTTATCATGCCAAAAGATTTAACATTTATTCACTAACAACTTCTAGTCTCCATTTATATATAAATATAGCAATACTTTTTTGTAATTTTTTACATTATTCATATTTGATATACTATCTTCAAAACATAATTAAAAAATTTTCACACACCCCAATAGTAAATATTTTAGTAGGTTCATTTCTATATCTATGTAAGCATCTGTCTTGCAGTTCATCCTATTTTTTAGAACGCTGATTCGACATTTGTTAATAATTACCGTAAGATGGTTTATGCAGTTGTTATGCAGTTTTGCAAATGTTTTTTGAAAAAGCAATACGTAAGCGTGTTTACTTTTACATTATCACAATGATATTTGCATCTGAACACGGTACTTTAAGGTTAGTTAAGTCAAAATTATGCCCGTGTTTGAGTTAATCTGCACCAGTGGTGTCGAGTAGGGAACAAGTAGATGCGATCTAATTTGACATGTCGCAAGTGTTGGATTGTGTATGTCAATATTTACTGGTACAGAAGCTTGCCTTGCATGGTTTCAGTCCGCATCTTTGCTCGAGGTTTTTCACTTATCTGATCGGCCGTCAGAATTCTGTTCGGATTTCTGATAGCTATTTCGACGAGTTTATTTCTTCCTGGCGTACCCCAGAGATCAATCCTGGTACAACTTTTGTTCCTTTTCTTTAAATGATGTTCCATATTGTGTTACCGATGCAAAATATATTTTGTTTTCTTGTGATATTAAACTTTTTTTATCAGTGCAAAGTCATTTTCTGATTGCTCTCTTCTCGAGGCCGACATAGAACGTGTTTCTAAATGATGCGCAAAAAACCGCTTGTCACAGAACGCCAAGAACACTACATCCATTGTGCTATCCAGGAAGCGCAACATACTTTATTTTTTTTATATAATCTGGGAGGGGCCCCGATTCCTCGGGTTCCTTTTATCAAGGATCTCGGTGTATTCATCAATAGTTCACTGTCTCTTAATTATCACGTATATTTAACCATTAATGCAGCACTTAGAGTACTGGGAATGATTTTAAGGTTGTTCGCCAGTTTTCAACGCCCCGTTGCTTTAACACATTAGTGAGGCCAAGGTAAGAATTTGACCCAATCATTTGGAATTTAATAACTATATCACAACCTGTTGCAAATGAAAATGTACACAAATTAATGATTTTAGTTGTTTACTACCGTTGTATAGGAAGAAAATATTTTTAGAATTATGAAACGCTACTTGTTCGATTTGCGTTGCAAAAGGTTGCCGGCCGGAGGCCATATAGAACTTTTATATTTATTGAAAAAGCTTTTTAAGGGTAAGTGAATTCAATTGACTTGTTGTGTTTTTTATCTTTTCATGTTCCGTCAAGGGTCAGCAGGAATGTGCTAACGTTTTTCTCATATTTTACGTCTTCTGTGTCTCCTTTATCGGGAATTCATTTAGCAATTAATAATTGCTCATCTTGACTTTTCTTTTTTACCAGCTTATGTTTTATGTACGAAGGTGGATGTCTTCGAACTGTCTATTGAAAGGCGGGTTTTGTGTAGCCTTTTCAGTTTTTCTTACCTATTATTTTTTTATTTTTAATGCAACGTGTATTTTAATGCTTAATATAGTTTAGTTTGGTGTGTGTGCACCATATCATAGACTGTAAAGTGGTTTGTGGGCACGGAAAGATAAACAATTATTAATATTATATCGCGCCACTTCATCTAGGAGATCACAAGCCGCCTTGGCTATCTAAAAATTAGCTCAAGCAAAATATTTAAGATCACCGATTGGCGTCAAAAATGATTTAACATTTGAATAAAAACATCTGAACTAGCAAGCAAAAGTACATGTCACAGCGTTTTTTTGCGTAATTATTTAAGCATCAAATTTTGTCTGGGAGGGTAAGAACCTCAACTGGCAACATTGAGAGCGTGACGTCAGTTGTAATATAGAACAATAAAGGGACCGATCATCTTCTTCGCGACGAGTTACGCTAAGGGGAGATAAATTCAATAGAATATGGGTGACCTGGGAAGACTTGATCAATTTATAAAAACGCCATAGGGCATAGGTTTAAAGGCAGACCTGAGGGACCTAGAAAATTGTATTGGGACATAGGAAAATTGGCACCGAGTGACCTAGAAGAGCCTGAGTAACGTAATGAAATGTAAATAAACAAAAACCCGAGTCACTTAGACAAATATGAATGGCCTAGCGAAATGAAAAGGGGCATAGACAAAACAAGAACCGAATAACATAGACAGACAGGGCTGGAAAAAGAGGACAACGCAATTGCTTCCTGCCCTCCGAGAAAAGAGAAAAACGCTTGCCTCCACGAGTCCGTAGGTCCAGCCGTGCTGGATGCGCTCCTGCGCCCAGACGTTGTGGGTGTTCTCCGAGAGCAGGTCGACCAGTTCTTCCATCTTGGGGGTTAGGCTGATGGCGCCCACATCCAGGGGGGCGGGCTTGTACCCGTTCGACTGCAGGTATGGGCTGCAACCACGTCGTCCAAGGAGAATATGTGTGACGCATCAAAACGCGAGCTCTTAACTACGCTGCACTGGATCGCAGGCAACGACAACTATATCGAAACGATGCGCCGACAGTCAGAATTTTCTTTGCACCCCCGATTCTGTACTCGGTATGTGGTAAGCTGTCTAGCTTCCGACATTGGTGCGTTTCGATGAAGTAAAACTCCCGTTGAGCACGCCTTTAAGACACGAAATGACTAATTTTAAAGGCAGATGATGTTTACATAATGTGTCGAACACATTTTAGTCAGAAATTGGTTGGAAATCTTTTAACTGAGCTTCGCCCATTTTAGTGCCTGTTAAAAAAAAAAACACGAATAAATAGGTTCCTTCAGCATGACTATAAAATTGCAAACATTATATCTCTATTTGAAACAGCCTGAGGTGATTCTGGGAAGCCGCATATAATTCTGCATAACTGTTGGATTGTGCCTTTGTTTGTTTGATTTTATTTAGACACAATATGTAGAGTAGCAAGGAAATAAGACAGATTTGTTCTGCCAGACGAGGTCCAGTTGAATCGACACTTCCTGGGTTGCGACATCTATTGCTTGTGTAAACAAGCACAGCGAGAAATTCCCAAGGCAGCTTCAGGAAAAAACGGTTAAAGTGCAGGAGAGCTGGTGGAAGTTATACATGATGATTGAAAACCTGAGACTGTGGTTTGAAAAACAGAAAATCGTGAAGTGGAAAGAAAAAGGGACAGACAACGTCCCTTTTTATTTCTACTTTACGATTTTCTGTTTTTCAAACCACAGTCTCAGGTTTTCAAGCTTCAGGAGTTCCCTAAGCACCTAATCTTACTTGGGTGTCCCTACCCATCCATATGTAAATCTGTTTCTTTAAAGGGTAACTGCAAAGAAAAAAAAGTTTTTTTTTAAATAGCCTAATTGGGACAAGCATGTCAAAAAACAATTTTTCCGCGAGAAAAAACATTTTTTACAGCAATATTGATTGCGTGAGACTCATTTTAGTTTGGGGCTATTTCGTCCGTTTTAAATCGCGCGCCACGAAGTTGTGATTATGTGACGTCAATCCCAAAAGGTTCTCATTGGCTAAGAGTTTGATTGACAGCTTAGATCCGGTTGTTAAACCTTTGTTACATGTTGCAATTTCCTTTTGAGAGGCATGTTTTTACGTTTAAAGAATAACCCATGGGATGAGAGTCATTATTCTTTACAAAAGGTTTACAAGACGGGCACTTCCGTTTGGATTCATACAAACAAAAGCTTCGCCATTCTTTCATGGCCGCCGAAGTCTCTGCTCCCGCCTGTCTCGCCTACCTCGACTAATCGTTTCACCGAAGTGATCAGTGTTTCGTCGTTTCGTGCTGACCCAGGTGCTTGAGTGAGACTTCTTGAAGTGAAGTAGTGTGTGTTTAGCAGCTGTCGCAGGTGTTAGTGATAGGAAGCGACGCGGGGTTTTGGCTTTCATAGCACGGTTCTTTCGTTTTCCTCTTTGCTTGCTTAGCGTGCTTTTTTTGTTTTGTTTTGCTTGTTTCCGCGTGCAAATGCTGACTTTTCGGAGCTGATGCGTGATCCCGACAGTGAGCCTTCCAGCAGCCGTGTCGCCCCGAAAGGAATGCTATTTGGCTGGAGGCAATCGGGCGTTCGCGTAGCGACCAATGTGTCTAGTTACGTTCTCGTCATATCGCTCTGGAGGCCGTCGAGATTCGCCCCGTGTGCACCTCACGTCCGCGACTAGACAGAAAATAAAAAAGCACTATGTCCACTACGTAAAAATGGTCTCAGTTCATGCATCTGAAGGCAGGTACGAAATCGTGCCCAAATTTATTCACACCGCACGATGCAACACGTCGCTGTGCAAACGCAGTCCAACACGAAGCATAAAAACGGCAGATTTAGGACAACAATTCGGAGTCCATTGTTCAATTAAAACGACGTAATTTTGTTGAAAACGCCCGCAGCTTTTTACTCACGGTATGCGTCGGGAAACTTCCACATTTTGAAACAGAACGAGGCAGATTTACTTTTAAAAACGCTCCCAGCGTCCTCCCGGACCAGTTTGACTGGATCAGCTGACGACGACGGGACTTAACTGGTTGAACGTCAACCCCACAACAACCAATTTGCGCTCCGTGTTAGCACCGCATTACACACACCACGAACGTTTCAGCTCTGTGGCATCGCCGTGTTGCACCAAACACAACGAGATCGCCGAAACCAACGCAGCGCTGTCGTGAACCTTGGCTTGTGGTTGCGCACTCGTGGATTCTGTGACTCCCTTCGCTTTCAAAGCGCGCACGACGATTACGAACGATACTTTCCGTCTTCCGGGAACACCACAAGGGCACTTCTCCGGTCACGTCTTCGCTACATGTGCTCGCAAACCGCGTCAAACCAAAACAATACCGCGGCCTGGCGTAGTTGCCATATCTTGCCGGAAGTCGAGACGCTGCGTCGTTCAACTCCGCAACGCAAGAAAAGTGAGGGGCGGGGCGTACTCCTCTTCCGCGGCGGTCGAAAGAGCGGGAGTTTCAAATGTGGAGAGGTTCTGACTCTACTAAATTACGTCCTGTGGCGTAAATATTGATTAAAAAAATAATTTTTTTCGCGGAACATTTGTTTTGTGACATGCTTGTCCCAATTAGGCTGTTTAAAAAAAAACTTTTTTTTCTTTGCAGTTACCCTTTAAGCACGCGTTAAGCAGACAAGAGCCATCTTTGATGCAAAGTTATGCAGTGGGTGCATAGATGTTTACCAAGTCTCTGTGCCTCTGATATGGTTGATTCAGGGAATGCCAACAGCAGGGGAGGTTTATCGGATGTGAATAAACGAAAACAGGTTTCCTCACGTGTATAAACATTTTTGAATAAGTCAACAAGAACAAACCACTTAAAGGAGATCCTTACAGCGTTTCAAAAGGACGCTAAAGGCACAATTTAATATTCTTTTTGTTGAGCTCAAAGGTATCTTAGTACCCTAAAACGCTATGTTAGCACACGTGGATTGGAAGCTTCAAATAAGTCAGTGGCGTCAGGGTGCTTCTCCTAGGAGAAACATTTCCCATAAACATCCTGTCAAGGCGACGTTATTTTGTAATCAATTTCAACCTACCTTAAAACAGCGTTATACAAAGCATTAAGGGCCATAGTCGGCGCGAACATTTTTTACGCGGGGCTGAAAATTTAAAGACAAACCCTCTCCATGGGCTGCTGAAAAACACCGCGGTCATCTATGTCCCCGTACGCTTACTCAATCCGCACCAGCGACCGAAGAGAAATCTGATAATAGGAGGAGCGAGCAATACTTAACACGTACGTGTTATCTCTAGGGACACTGGTGAATGTCGTCTGTATTGATTTCTGGCCGTTGAACACACAAGCGCTTCGTACAGGTTTATTCCGGCATTGTTGAACAAGAAAACACGGGAGGTATTCGTCGTTGCCGGTTGCAATTCAGGGAGCACATCATTGAATTCAGGCTTCGAACAACTCCTGCGGCCCGAATGCCGTGAAGACACGTAACTAGGAATGTCAAACATGAATACGCCTTGGAATGTCAAGGTGTCACACCTTTCCTCGAGAATGAAATGAAGAAACGCGGCTGCAGGAAGGCGCAGCCGTGACCGAGACATTGCGGGTGCATGGGAAGAGGCCTGAGCGGGCCTCGCTAAGTGACGTAACGCGGGCTCTGTCGTTGGTGCAGGCAGTGTATACCTTTCGAAGCGAATCGGCGCACTCACGGTTGCACGCTCCCAATACACGCTGACAGAAGCTTGTCTACGCTTTGTGTGTGAATGGTCGCGGGGCGCTACTAATGTGCCTAGACGACAGATGCGTTTTCCACTGCTCGATGATTTATGGGGCGCGTTTGCAATGCGAGCTACGAGGAGGTGACGAAAGCGTTCATCGACTGCAAGCGTCTCCTTCTCTCCGCCCACCTTCCTCCTCAACAGGCGACGACGCAACGAATGCGCACTTGCGACCAACGGGCGCCGGAGGCCCATTCTATTGCAGAAGCTCTCTATGCAGAGAGAAAGTCGTCTCCTTCTTGTGCAGAGGGTTGCGGTGACGTAGGAACGACGCCGAGCTATTATTGGCTTTGATTGAAAGGACAGTGGGTAGACCTGAATGCTACTTGCCTTGAGGTCGGCCCACTATTGTTTTTCAATCAGACAATATGAGCTTGGCGTTCTGACATCATCTCAACCCCTGTGCAAGAAGCACACGAACTTGCGATTTGCACAGCTTGAGACGCCGCCGCTTCTGTGGCTGCGTCTTGCGGACGCTCTGGCTCAGAGAAACAAGTCGATTGGTAGCTGGGTAGGCAGCTATCGCTGAACCAATGAATTTCGAGCACCTGGCAGTGGTAAAATAAATTACTGCAGAAACCACTGCTGTTGTAGTCTGGATTGCGATAGCATTTGTCATGAGACGCACGACGCAACTTACTGTAATTAAGTCAAGGCAAATTTTTAGTGAACGCTTTATTTTTTGTACGCTTTACGACGCAATCATTGACGTCAGCTATCAGTCCTATTTTATGCTGTAACCTTCTTCTCTTTTTCTTCCTTTTGTGTAAAGCGTTTTTTTAATATCTATATTAGTCGTATGATGCTACTGCGTCTACGACGTTACATTTGTTCTACGCTACGAATCATGCTTGTTGTGTAACATGTGATTTTGCTAGTTGTTTTATTGTGCCCTTTTATTTCATTTTACACATCACACTGTTCAATGTTTAACTACCTGTTTCATAACGCTATCTTTTTATTTTTATTATTACTGACTAGGCCATGTTCTGCTGAATGTATTCATTGCATTGTTAACTGTTGAACTGCTGGGGGGCAGAGTCGGTCAGGCTTCACGCCTTTATCTCTGCCCCCTGGGCGGAAAACCCCGCCAAACAAAAAAAAATTGTTTTGTAACTTGGGCGCGAATTCGAATGTGTGCGTACTGCCGCTCCATGTATGCGCGGCGCGGGATTTTCCGCTTGCTAGGACGACGTCGAGGACGACGTCTAGCACGACCTTTAGGGCGATCACTAGGACGACCGTTAGGATGCCTTCAAGGACGACGTCTAGGACGATGTCGAGAACGACGTCCTAGAGGACGACGTCTAGAACGATCTCTAGGACGACCTTTAGGGCGACCTCAAAGACGAGCTCTAGGCCAATCTCAAGAACGACGTCTAGGAGGACATCAAGGACGACGTCCTAGAGGGCGACGTCAAAGACAGCGCCTAGGACGACGTCCGCAAACGCGTGGTACCCGCGTATGCGGACGTCGTGCGTATGCGGATGTCCTGCGTATACGCGGTGCATACGTGCGCTGCCTTTACCCACGGCGCACTTGAGGCCAGATGCCATGTCGCGAAAACCGGGTGAAGTAGCTAAAAATGCTATCGGATTAATAGCTAAAGAATGCTGTTGCACTTATAACCGTGCCAATAAAGGTACCATGTAACCAATTCCCCCAATTCCCTTCCGCTACGATGCCGGGAACGCGTCTTGGACTAGTCTGTTCACCATCGAATCCTGGCCTTGAAAGTGGTCTCGAAGTGGCACCAAACTGCGTTAAAGGAGCCGGTCTGTCATGCTCTCGGATGTTGCAATTGTAGCTAAAACGGCGAGCGTACGCAAGGGTCATTAAGGCGTCCTGTGTCTGCTTTGGTCTCTGTTGGGCTGCTGAGAGATCTGCAGCAGACACTGCCGCGCCCGCCTGCGCTGCTGTGCCACCGCCAGTCAAGCCACGGGCACGACACTTTTGTCATCAGATAAATACCGAGGGACCACTTCTCGGGACGCGGCGAACACATCGGTCAGGGACACGTCCCAAGAACCATAAAAAAACGTAGACTGCTGTGTTTTTGACGCTCGAAAAATGCATCCCGTTATAGAGGTAAAAAATCGAGGCAGACTTACTCATTCGGAAGCTTGATGGTTTTGATGCGGGCCGGTGGTTTATCCACTGTAATATGGTATCCTAGGGCCAGGATGGTTCTGTTAAAATGGGAGAGAATAATTCATTTGAAACTTCCGCATCGCGGTGCCGTTCCGATTTAAATATAAAGAAGGGGGGATCGATATTCCCGTGGGCTAGCGCACACCAGCTCGGAGCACGTAGAGCGAAAGCTCGTGCTGCAGAACCAAGGGATCCTGGGTTCAATCTCCACCCCAGCCCGTTTCGATCTGGATGAGCATCGTACCGGCGTGCGGTTATGTATCACTACTGCGTGGTGCACGTTAAAGACTCAGCCTAGCGGTTGCACTGCACTGGCTAGATTTCACATCTAAAGCTGGGAGACAAGTTGCCCGCTGAGGCAGACTAAGTTCTAGGTTGTGTAAACAGTCACACACCCCATTTATATATATATATATATATATATATATATATATATATATATATATATATATATATATATATATATATATATATTTATAACGAGATTTGGGAAGAAAGTAGAACGGTGTTTTTCACATTGCAAAAAGTAACAACGTATCGCGGTAAAATGTAACGCTAGCGTTCCGAACCAGATGCCAATCTTTCAGAACTCACCGTTATTTGAATAAAACGAATGTTATCAACGATTTTCGGGAATTTGAATTAAGAAAATTTAGAGGACGCTTAAGCTTCATCTTTAAGATTAAAACGCAATAGCGAAACACAAACATATAAACTTCAACTTGCTCCCAAGCCGTCAACCGTGTTTTGCGTGGCCTAGACAGTAGCGTATGTTGCTGGAAACCGAAGGGTCGTGGGTCGGAATCCCGCCTAAAACTCATTAAATATTTCTATAAGGCAATTCAATCACTTTATAGAGTGATATCATTTGGAACATGCGGAAACCTTCAATTCGTTGTTGCGGGTTGAAGCTGAACAAGTTAGTTCAGAACTTGTGAAATTACCGGCTGAAAATGAAAGAATAAAAGCACACAAATAATTATACATTCACACCGCTGGACTATTAACCATTTAATAACGCCGTCCACGTGTTCTTTCTTCTTTCTTAACTATCGGAATGAAGGAGCTTTTGGTCTATTTTCTTCTTCCTCTTTTTCATGGTTGCACTTTTGTGAACCCCGGAAAAATACTATCTCCTTGGGGCGCAGTACAATGGAGAGGGCACTATTATATTGGTCCTCCTTTTCCTCGATGCCTAAGGCTTCCAAACAGTTCATGGCCGATCAGATGTCCATGTCTTGCCCCGATGGCTAGGTCGGATATTCTTCCTTCGCATTGGCATGCGCAGCAATGAGCTGCGAGGTGGCCTGTTGTGAAGAATTCTTTAAAGAGGCTGCATCCCTTCTTTTCGGTCATTTATACATCTGCAGGTCTGGACGACGCGGCATTTTTCCCATGCCAAGGGAATGTTATACACCACAGCTTTCTGGCATTGAGTGTGCCTTGTTTTATGTGCTGTATCATATTTCTCTGTTTATACTTTGATCTCTGTTCACTTTGCCACACATTGCATATGCGTTGCTTGAAGAAGAACAAACAACCTGAACGCTTTGCCGGCCTGCGATCTTTTTAAACCAATGAGTAGCACCATGAAAATATGGCGCTGCCAAAATAGGTTTTCCGTTCTTTTTCCTTGTGCGGTCGGTTCCTTCTGGTCGTTCCTTAATTTGTTTGCAGGTAGTTTCAGATTCTGCAACCAGCTCCAAGGAGCCTTGACATTTGCGCAGTAAAACTTTCCTGAACCTGAGGTGGGTATGACTTGTCTAAGAAGGACGTTAGCGCTGGGGTAGCAAGCTCACGTTTCACGCTTTTTGAATTTTCAAATGGCAGGAACGCTTTGCAGGATTGAGCTTGATACCTCCATCACGTGTGTCCCCGTTTAAATTCCAACACGAGATCGAGGAACCTGATAGGTTTATCTACGGGTAGCTCATGGTTGAACTTAAGACTCGAACAATTTTGTATAAAGCAACCTATGACGTGGTGATGACACCCCTTGTTTAGATATTCTACTTCTGTTTTTAGTAGCATGCCGGAAAATGACCTCGATCCTGGAATCTTCTGTGTGTTTTTAAATGGTACCTCCGCAAGCTGCGAGGAACAATTCTCTGAGGTATGGGGCCACTCGAGAGCCGGTGCAAACAACGATCATCTGAATATATACTTGGTTTGAGTGGGCACCACCGTCGCTGTCGGGTAGGCCCGTAACAGTTCCAAAAATCTGTCCAGGCTCATCCCGGCCGCGCTTTGGAAAGGTATGAGACCTTTCTCTTCAATGGTCGCTCGGTCTCTCGAAGAACATTCAGAAAGGTCGAGTGTGGTAAGGAATAGTACATATCTTGGATGTCGACTGAGAAACCCGAAACAACATCCGCTCCTTTTCTTGTATAAAGGATATAACGTCTTCTGTGTTCTGTATCTTTAAGGGGTCTTTTACTTTAACTTTAGATAGTTTCTTAGCCAGATAGGTCCGTACTTATGCTTGCCATGCGCTTCCTTTTGTCATAATGGCCCGAAACGAAATATCATTTTGTGCGTCTACGTGAAAAAAAAAAAAAGACTGACAGATGGTTTGTTTTTATTTCTTTGATTTTGGTGACGAGACCGTGTAGATGGTTTTTGTGTAATATTTTGAAGGTAGCTTTTTGTTGATAACGTCCTCTTTTCATCCACGTGAATGAAGATCTTATCCATCACTTTTTGGGGATATTTGACTGTACTTCACCTATTCGAGGACTACGAACCCTCCTTCCTTTTCAGACACACATAGCTTTAGATTTTTCTTGCTTAATTCACGCACAGTTGTGCCGAAGCTCATCTTCTGATGTGCAGGACTCTTTAGCTTTGTAAGGCAGTCAATGCCTTTATTTGTGATTTGCGATTTTTTATCCTCTGGCGCTTTGGACAGAATTTGCCTCACTAGCATGATCTTGTCCACACCCTTGAGTTTTCGAGGTAGCACAAACTTGGGGCCCTGCTCAAGTACCTCTTTTGGTTTGTGGTGACCGGTTGACGTCCCCAAATATGTGCAGCGGACATCAATTTTGGCTTGTTGTTACTTTTTTGCCAGGTAAAATCTCCATGCTGGGAGGAACCTTTGCATCCAATTACAGGCCCATTGCGTTATTGTCAGTCATTCATCAGATAATGGAAAGGTTTATTTTAAAAACTATAACCTCGTTCTGCGACAAATTCTCGTTAATAAGTAACTGTCAGTATGGGTTCTGGAAAAATAAAAATACGTCACTTCTACTCGAAGACGTAGCGGATTTTATTAATGAGAAGATAGACAATAATAAAATTGTACTTGCCTTATTTTTAGACTTAACTAAAGCGTTTGATACAATAGATCATGATATTCTACTAGATAAACTAGAAAGTCTGGGATTCCGAGGACCGTTCCTTAGATTTTTCAAAAATTACTTTACCAGCCGAACACAGAAAGTAAGAATTAGCAATAGTAGAAGTGACACCATCAACCTCACCTGCGATGTACCCCAGGGATCGGTATTAAGCTCAATGCTATCTAATATATACATGAATGACTTTGCTTCTTTGCCTTTAATATCAAATATATATCAATATGCAGACGATACCGCTTTAGTTCTAGCAAACGAAAATTATAGTTCTGCGGCGTCCGCTTTACAAGAAGACATCAAACAAATAATGAACTGGTTTGTAAAAAACTACATTTTTGTAAATGAAAACAAGACAACTTTAATGTGCTTCAGAACCCATCAAAAGCGTATTCACCTCACCAAACCCATCTTTTTACAATCAGCGGAATGCACGAATTGTTGCTGTTCACCACTACCATACGCAACAGCAACTAAATACCTAGGAATTTACTTTGACGAACATTTATCCTGGAATTTTCATACAGATAACCTAATAAAGCAGTTGAGGATGATTTCATCTTACTTATAGAGACTTCGTAGTCACGCGGACATCACATTAAGGAAAACAGTTTACCAAATGTTAGGTGAATCAAAATTGAGGCATGGAATAACAATCTACGCATTCTGTTCGAACACCAAAAAGCAAAAAATTGATAACATGATAAAAAGAATGGTAAAGAACGTCACTTATGGAACCCGGCTCGAGCACATCCCATTCGAAGAACAGCTTATCGAACTTCATCTTCTGGCGATAGGTAATCTAAGGAACTATACAATCATCACGTCAAACTACTTCACGACCGATTACAAGACAAAGTCAACTAGACAAAAACAGCTTAGGAGGACCGAGAAATATTATATTCCTAGAGTATATACGAATTATGGAACACGATCAAGAAATTATTATATCCCGAATCTCTTTAACCAACTTCCTGGCAATTTGCAGGAAATGCAGTCGTTACGTAGTGTGAAAAAAGAAATATTGAAATGGTGTCAAAGCAGTTCGATTTGATTTTGGAAGTGGGCCCTTGGATTTTATTCATAATCTCGCCTTGTGACTCATGTCAAACAATTTTGTCGCTTCTTTTTTTTTTTCTTATTACTGATTCATGGCCGCTGCTTGTGTTGGTTTTTGTTGTAATGACTTTGCTGTTGAACATTTAGTTTCGAATATTTTCTTGTTGCTTTTGCGTTTCATTATCGGAATTCACGAGCAACGTCTACGGTATCTTTTTTACATATGTATATATTTTTCATAATTTGTTTCGCTCGGATAGACATTTTCCGTGTTGAGCGTTACTTGTCGTTTTTAGTTACTGCTGCATGCGGTGTTTCTTCTTTTTACGCGGGATGAATGTAACGGATATGATTGCACGACGCAAAGTTCAATCCGCGAAGTGTTCATGATTATTGAGCCACAGTACGACACACCACGGGTTCTTGAAATTTATTTTTTGTTTTATTCTTGTTGTTTCACTTTTTTTTCTGTAGTAATGCGTTTGGGGGGGGGGGGGGGAGGGAGACTTGTAGAGTTGGACTGCCCGTTCTCACACACAAGCACACATGAGCTTAAGTGAGACGATTCTGGAAAATGTATTTTGAAAGAAACCTGGAATAAACTATTCTATTCTATTCTATCCACATGAGTTTCGTTGTAATTCTTGTTCTTTGCAGTAGGTCCTTATGTATAAATGACGTATATCATTTATATAAGTATTTATACATAAATACATACACACATTTATACATATATATACATATATTTATACATACATTTATACAATATATGTATAAACGACCGAACAAGAGAGCATGCAGCCTCTTTAAAGAATCTGGCCACCACAAGCCACCTCGCAGCTCATTGTCGCGCATGAATGTAGGACCTAGCCATCAAGGCAAGAGATCTGCAACAGCTCGGCAGGGAACTGCTGGATGTCCTGGCCATCAAGGAAAAGGGGGACCAATGTGTTCGTGCACCGTCCAATGCACTGCAACCCAAGGCGATAGTATTCTCGCGAGGGTTCACAGAAGCACGACTTTGAAAAAGAGAATGAAGAAAGGAATAGATAAAAAGCACCTACATTCTGATAGCTAAGAAGAAAGAAGTGGCGTTATTAAATGGTTTCTAGTCCAGTGCTGTGCACGCATAATTCTTTATGTGTGTTTTCATTATTTTTTGTTCAGCTGGTAATTTCACAAATACCTTTATTTCGCATTATATGTAAAGTTTTTAATCACTTTCATTCCACGCGTGAAGTCACGTTTCACACAAGCGTTGTGGGTTATTTGAAATTCCCGCGCTAGGGAAAATCGACCAATGAGGATTTTCGCGGCACGCCACCGACGCCGGATTTCTCGCCACGACACCGAGGCCGTCGCGACACGAGCTTCATAAGGCTATCGCGTTAAAAATGAGGCACATTTCCGGTAGCGTTCAACATTCAACTCTAGATATTCGTGGACTCCGTTGGTCGTCGTTTCTTGATTAAAAAAATCAGATAATCGGGTATAACTTTTGACTTCAATACCTCTCATTTTTCAATTTTAACCATCTGATGCTAACAGCTAGCACTGTATTTGGGGGGAGACAGAGCGTACGGAGATGTGTAATTGAAATTTTGCGGTGACAAAAACATGATTTCCTTTTCTCGAAAGACCGGGCATTTTGAAACGGCATTGAATACGACTCGAGACGGAACTGTGCTCGTTTGATAGTAGATTTGCGCACGAAGCTAAGTTTATACAAGAGAACACAGAAAAGGCACAACAAATTCAGAGGGACACACAATGTATATATGCTTTCTTAGGTGATTAACTCTTTGAGCGCCACGCCCGAGTGTACTCTGGCGGCACGTCCCCACGATGTTTCAGTTTCTGTTTATTCCTGTCCATCTAAACTGGGCGGCTTTTGTTTATCTTTCTTTATGCAGCGGTATGCATGAACAAGCCATGAATGCAATGTGTTATCTTGTGGTATCACATTTTTATGACAGGTAGTTTCTTTTAGGCAATTTTTGTTTCGGTGTATTCCTTCGTTGTTACAGAATGGCGAATTTCTTTTGTTTAACCTCGCGGTTAATGACAAACATTAAAATCACAAATTACTAGCGAGCTCAGTATCTTACGACTCTGAAAACAAGGAAGTTACAGTTCAGAATAAAAAAAAAAGGCCGAGTAAGGCAGCTCAGAAGAGTGACCTCAGGGTTTGAGGTCGAGGTGCCACTGAATAGAACCATGCCTCGAAAAGTACAATACATGGAATATGTCAAAGTTTGGAGGCATGAAGACTTGAAATAACTTTTAGACCATGCAATATAGTTTTAAAATAAATATTCTTGACAAAGCATGCTACAGTGTTACTGAAACCAAAATATGCGATGGGCACGCGTGAAACAAAAAACCCCGGCACTTAAAGGTTTAACAAGAAATGTTATGCGGCTGGCTCCTAGCAGTTCTCCGTACCACACTTCCTGCAGCGGAAAGTAGTCACACAAACACTTGTTGGAAACGAGCGCTGTCTCATCGTTTGAACTGGTGTCATAACTAAATAAAGACGAGTCCCACCTGACTGCTGACACTGCGTCCAATCCGGATGCCATAAGGCCTCCGGCAGCGACCTAATAAAATCCTTGTTATCACGGAAGTGTTGTGTGAGTGCACTCACACAGTGCGCTTATTCATGTAAAAAGAAAATATGCAAGAGGCGAGGGGGGGGGGGGGGGGGAGGGGGGACAAGTACATGCTTCCGAAAAAACGGGGAAAACGCCCTCCTCCCTCTTAAGCACTAGCAATGGCAGGGCTTTCTTCCAGAAAAGCACTCCGATGTTTGCGTTTTCAGGGCACATAATGCCATTGTACCAAGCTCATATATAAATATTCTCCGGGAAGCAACCCACAGTACGTTTTATATGTGCCACTAGCTTTAAGAAGAAAATTCAGAAACAGGCCGAGTTTTGATAGAACTTCTTCTGCAAAATGCCCCGCGGGTGAGCTCTTGCACTTTACATCCCCGCCAAGTCTATAAAATATTTCACCAGAAAATTCTGCTAGTGCATAGTTAAAGAACCTGCAAGTGACAAATTTGTTGGGGAGTTTAGAATACCCCTATAAAAAAACAAAAAAAACAATCACCTTGACTATGTTAATAACACAGCAGAAGGACCTTGCTAAATATTCAACTTCGTCATTTTTGTAGCGATTAAACGTTATACAAATTGTGACAAAAACAAGCACCGCCCGCTTAACGAAAGAGAGCGGCCGGAAATCGCCTGAGGTTCAAGAGACGGCTTGTGTTTGTAAACACAAAAAGATTTGAGCGTGGTTGAATAGATGAATGAATTGATATTATCGGTTCTAGCCTTCATAACGGGCGGTAGCTAGCGCGACCTAGCCTAAAAAAAAGAAAAAGAAAACACTCTTTCTTCTTCCTACCATTTTCTCCTCAGCCAACGCAGTTCTGTGCCTATCACGAGACCGTGGGTTGCTTACCAGAAAGACACTCGGGGGATCGAAGGAAAAAACTAAAAACAGTAACCTCCACACCTCCTACCCCCGGCGAGCGAATCGCCAATTTCCTTCTATTCGAGCCTTGCCGGTGTTACCCCAATATCAGACCCACTGGGGGCAGGGTTCAGACTTTGGGCCGGAGTCACGCGGGAAGGGGTCTCATTTTTTCTTTGTGGCTCCTGTTGTCCAAATGTGCTGGTTAGTTGTACTTCATTAAATTTTCAATAGATATTTTCCCCTATCATCTTACTTCCTCTTTGTGAGTGTAATCCTTTTAGTTCTTTCATTTTTCATCTTCGCTGCCGAGCGCCCCCCTCCAAATCTCTCACCTCTTCAGAGAGAGCCAGGGCGCCGTGCACTTAAAAACCAAATGATATCACTCTCACTATGGCATACGGCACATAATGTGCATCTCATAAAATGCATCCCTATATGTCTTCATTCTTAACGATCCCGGCAGAGCTTCAAAAAGCGAAGAACTTCCCGGATAATTATCAAACACCTTCTTCTTTCTTATGTCCAGTTTTTGACAGATTTTTATTGTTTAAGCAAACTTTCCTTGCATCCCTCCCCCGCCCCTTTTTGTGCCTCTTTCACTCTCTTTACCCGACGTTCGCACATGGTGGCCAAATCAAGCTGTGAGCACAGGGTCCGGTACAGGCCGCGCGTTCTCCTGGCTGGCAAATATCGACATTGCCAGCCGACTATACTGAGAGAGGAAACTCCAACGAATAAAATTTAACACAAAATAATTTCAATCTTAGGACTTTTGTCACGAACACAAGGGAACTGAACCCAATGGCCCGTGGAAGGTGGCGTGGTTCTCGGCAGCCAAAGCAGTCCGCACCCCGGTGTCGGCCGTGACTCACTTGAGCGTCTGCAGGGCCAGCGTGGTGTCGTACTTCTTCTCGGCCGGCGGAAGATGCTCGAAGGACGTCAAGCACGGATGCACGTTGCGGTTGTCGTCCCGGACCTGCAGGAGGAGACGACAGCTGCAAACACACTTTTAAAACCACACGGACATCCCCATAAATCAAACATACAGGCTGTTTCGGAGTAAAATAGAAGTGTCTACAGCCCCCCCCCCTTCCCATCGCCGAACGCTCAGTCTACACACAAATGTAGGGCCAGAGGTCCAAAATCAGATCATAAGGTTTCAGAACTAAGCCTAATCTGAGTCAAACTCTATCAGTGATTTTCAGTAGCGAAAAATGGCGTGCGTATATCCGGTAACCTTTGCCGTTTATATCCCTGTACACGCGGGTTCAGTCGGTCGCCATTTCCTCACGAAATATTGGAACAAATTGTAACTTTTAGAGCGCAGCTCTGAAGCGCCCGTGTCCGGCTTGAGCAGCGTCGCCGTCGCCGTCGGCGTAACCAGGCGTAACCCTCGTAACCCGCGTGAGGGTTACGAGGGTTACGTGGGTTACTCTCACGCGGGTTGCGAAATACAACATATTACGCAGCGTGTAAATTGTCCATAATATCGCTTCGAGCACTCTTCCAAGGTAGCCCTATGTTGAAACCAACTCAGCGCAAAAGGAGAATGATTAGTACAAGAAGGCAGGACGAGAGCTGACAAACAACTCATAATCGAAATTTTGATACACGGAAGAAATAATATAACGCCCTGCCAATTATTTTATTTTCTCCGCGTCACAAATTTGAGATAATGATGTTTCCTAACCAGCTCAGCCTGCACACTTTCGCTGCTTTCTTACAACTGACGTTTAATGGACGAGAAGAAAGATTAAAAAAAATCATTACTCCCGGACCACTGAGCACAGTTACCAGTCAGCGCATGTCCTGGCTTCATAACCTTAACATCTGTAGCCAACTAACTCAGCAGTTAATTTTCTGCCTGCGCAGATCACGGTATTTTCGGACAGACAGCTAAATATTTAAATTAGTAAAGCCGTTTTGTCGTGACCGATGTAATTATTCCAGCGTTTGCCTTAGTTCTTTTTCGCGGTCGTACGTCGTCGGTGCACCTGCTCGACATGAAGGGGCTGAAACCCACGAGTGAAGGCGGGCTCACCTCTGCGTATCTCCAGCCAGCGTCAATCTTCTTCATCGACCACACCTCGTGGATGTTTTCTGCCAGCTTGTCCCTCACCGACTCAATGTAGTTGGGCAGGGCAATCTAGTGAGAGAACATGTCGCGGGTCGTTCAATATTAAATTCCAAAGCATCAAATTTTAATTTAACGTGAAATAAAATCTATTACAATTTCGCTTCACTAATTCCTTTGTCCCATACAGCTTTTAGTCATCAGTCTTACGGAGAAATTACAGGCGTTTCTCACGTTCACTACACAATAGCTTCCGTTTTACTTTTTACATCTGAATACCAAATATACTTGTAACTTTTATACAAAAGAGAAGTCACCATCTTTTTATTTGAATTATTAAAGGACACATGATTTTACAAATATATGTGCACTGCCATGCTGTAACAGTCGTCCCTGTGAGACCACTTTGCCGCAATGTGCTAGAATCATGAAGGAAGTTCATCTAAAACACACAAAATGATTGTTGCAAAAAAAGAAAATCATTCTAAATCAGGGGTCACTAAACCCCGGCCCGCGGGCCAGATCCGGCGCGCGGCTGCTTGAGGTCCTCTCAATGACGCCCGGCCCGCTGCTTATTTCCGCCGATGCTTCCGGCACAAAAACCAGCGCGCAAAAACTAATGGCGCCGCGACGCTCACCAAACTCATCTCATCCGCCCTGATTCCTAGGTACTGGGCCATATTCGCCTCGAGATTCGATCGGCACGACTCATGTGGTGAAAATCGCAACTACGTTCTGTTTTGCACTTACTTGGAGCAAAACGAATACTACGGACGCGAGGCGGAAGTCATGGGAGGCGTCAATGCAGCGCTCGTGCACTGGAATCGACTGCTAAGAATTCGCGCTCTGTACCCTTGCCCGTGCTTTGTGCCGTTAGTGTGGATGCCTAGTTGGCTTAGTCTCCATCCGCATTGTGGACAGAGGGCATCACTACGCGCTTCAAAGAGGACCTTCGATAACCAAGAGTTCACGTCCCATAAATTTAAACTGGGCCTCGAGGCGAATAACATAGAACATATATTGCACGTTGTCATCATCCAGAATCATCATTCTTAAAAACCTGTTTGATGTATGTTTAACTATCTTGAAACTCCTTTGAGTTCTCATGTATACATGCTTACTACCCTGTACCAGAACTATTGCATAGTGTCATCACCAATGAATCATTTCCGCTTGTACTGCGTTCAGCGCCTGTCCTGTGTTTACTTCTATGTAGTCTGTCCCTTTTTTTGCGGGCGGTTTTCCCTTTTTCTAAATTCAGTCTGACCACTTTGATAACTATCGTCCTCTTAGTGTGTAATAGCTCCACATGCTAATGGGGATCTTTTGGTGTCTCGTAGGGAAGAATTTGAAGACACACATGAGTGCGGAGCCTGAACATTCCAGACGTTAGTTCGCTGTATTGTTGTTCGATTTCACCCAGTCGAGACTTGTTCGCGCTGCGGTTTTGACGATGCCTCGTACATCCTCGTAATGTTCAGCTACGGCACGCCCCAATGCCCCAGGCAGCATATGAAAACACAATATGGTGAAGTTTATTAAGAGTTTTAATCAACCAAGCGCCTTTTGCACACAGTGGTAGTTTCATGACACCATCCAAACTGAAACAAATTGAGAAATAACCGTACCGCGATAAACACCGTAGCTTTCGCACGACGGCCATTTCTGATTAAGGACAATGTTCTAACAGCCGTTAGCATACAAACATTTCGATTTATATTTGAGCCTCTAGATTTCACTGGGTTTGCGGAAGTGTCCACTCTACCAGTCTCATTAGTCCTCTGTCCTGCGTGAATAAGCTAAACTTCCTGGGCACTTTTATGTGCCCAGGAAGTATTCCTGGGGAGGCACATAAAGCCCAGGAATACTTCCAAGTGAGTATTCTTGCCAAGTGAGTATTCTTTTTCACAATAATTGTATGTCCTAATTAACTAAATATTGAACTTCGAAATGAAATGTATTTATTAATTTCCTTCGGAATTTTTAAACTGACTTGATTTTTTGTACTTAAACCACTCTCTAGCTTTTAATATATTATTTTATTTCTATCTACTCATATATTTTCCGGTTCTCAAGGCCACGGCAGATTCCGTCTCCGACCCCTAAAGCAAAACGTTTGAAGACCCCGGTTCTAAATTATTCGAAGTTATTAAAAATTGTGCTCTTTGTCCCGTTAGTCTGGATGCATTGAATTTTGAACATGTTTCTAACATGTTCAAATTTCAAGGCAGAATCGTCATTATTCAACAGTTGTCAGGAACTTTTTAACAGTGACGTGCACTTAACTCGTTACTTTTATGCCTCAGCGGTCCTCCAGCCTTCGATCTACTTTTTGCTTTTGTTCGAGTGCGTTACGACAATTTTATAACATGCTAAACTAAACGACAACTAAGAGGTGAAATATATATCAGAAACGACGACGGGTGACGAGCTTTGCAATCTTTCATTGCGAGAAACAGACATCGCAATCTTGGCTGTAGGTCTATGCTGTGCTGACCCCATTAAATAAACTTGCATTTGGTAAGGTGAAAGGTGTTCGTCTCCCTAATGACCTACTTTAACTAGACCTTGTCGCTGTGCAACAGTTCTAGCATCTTGGGTACATACTACTGAAATCACACTACCTTTTCTTAGAATCATCCCCAACCCTGGCCTTCCTTGTGTCTCATCAATTCTCCAGGTGAACGCCAAAAGAACGAAGGAGTGAGAGATCTGTTAGATTGTTTCGAGTATTCTTGTAAACCAACTTGCCTCCTCCAAGATGTAATATTGTATAACCGAGGGCCCTCGATAAATCTTTAACTTTGTTGTCCGTGTAGCCTTTATGCTTTCTAGCACTAGTGACATAAGCAAGCTCAAAAAGCTTGCATACTCGGTGCGACCGAAAGTTCCTTGGGACGCAAGCAACAGTTCATGTTTGTAAACGGAAAAAGGGCCTACACCAAATGATTGACGAAAGAAAAGTAAATACACTGTACCAAACATTTTTTTATACATATAAAGGACTGCGTACGTCGCCGTTGCCGCGGCAGCTTCTGCAACCACAATCTTTATCGGGAGACGCCTGCGGAAAGCGCTATGTGCTTCGCATTGTTAGCCGGGCCAGCGACGTCACTCCCCATTTTGAACTCTGCCGTTATCACGGCAGCATATGCAACCGCGATTTCTACCGAAAACCGCATGCGGGGAGCGCTACGTGATTATAATCTATAGCGTGCAATTTACACATGTTTTGTGGTTTTCGTATTGAAACAAATGTCGAAACCATATGATAAGAGATAAGGCCCGCGCGAAGGGTGATAAGGCGGGCGTGGGTTTTCTGTCGACTACTTTGTCTGTCGACTACTGATCTGTCGACGGACACAAAAAAACCCGACCAAGGAGTCCAGAAAAACTAAGCTTACGATACACTGGTCCGCATGCGGACCATATACACTTGCTATAGGGGAAAAGGCCCATTGCAGCTGATCTGCTCTGGGCCACAAAAAGGGGCGCTCACAAGGAAACCAGGGAATGGTGTGTGATTAGACTAAATGCAGCTTATTTCGTGGCTCTAAGAGAGCCGAGTTATGTAACCGTCTCGCTTCCCGGCGCCAACGACCACTCACTGCCGACGTGTCGACGGGTGCCGGCACGAAGACGGCGTCGTCCGAGATGGCGGCGGGGCCGAAGAGGACCCCCTTGGGCACGTCTCCAAACTGAAAGCAGGGCTCCACGGTCAGCACCTGCTGCGGCAGGAGGGCCTCCACCAGGGCTGAGTGGCCGTCCGGGGGACCGTAGCGCAGCTTGCCCTGGTCTCCGCCCAGCAGGAAGCGACAACTGCGACCAACGCAGCACACTCGTCTAAACTCGCCTTTTCACTTCAGAGTGTAACGGTTCATCGGTCCATCACCGTGAAACAAGACAACGACGTTCCTCGCTGCCACGAGTTTGACGACACGAGTGAAGAAACATAACTTTTCATCCAAGTTTCTAGTCGCCCGCATCATCTCTTCCGTCCTCAATATTGAATACTTTACAGAGCAGACCCTCTCAAACTGAAACGACGTGTCAACGCAGAATGCATTTTTTAATTCGATTTTCATGGGGGTTTGTAACGCTTTACTGTATCATTTGCCTATAGCATCTGCCTGTAACGTCTACATGTCAAGCTCGGCTGTAACAAAAACCCGACACCGAAAAGCGCTATGCCTCCAGAAAGCCAAATCAAAGACTCCAAAGAAGTAAGTCTACGCCAAGACTTGAACCCACAACCATGAGATTGTGAGCAAAGCGCTTTACCGACTCGACTATCAAGGGTTTTTCTTTCTCGATTCACCACACATTTACAAGTGTACAGCAGTACGTTAACATTCCTGCGTTTGAGGTATACTTTTCAACACATTCGCACAATCGGGTATAGCCTGATTGTAATCGCACACAGTTTTGATTTGTAAAATCATCTCAATAAAAAATTTACTTGCAGATTTTGGTGGTTGTTCAGCGTGTCTCACAGACAAATGGGACTTCCAGAAACTAAACGGGGCAAGAACCATAATCGCATCGTACGGAACAGAATCATGCTGATTGACAAGGGGAAAAACGTATTGAGTGTATAGATAAACAAATATATTTTTATAGTCTTTTTTCAGGATACACCCTAGAAATATCGCATTCCAACTATACAAAAATGCATTCTCTACCGCCTCAGGTTCTTTACCCAAAGGGCAGTTAATCCTTCCATGAATAATCATTCCCCTTTCTCGCATACAAAGTTTCGCTGGCAAGGCAAGCGAAAGAAAAACGACTTCGCAGCTGAAGGTATTGCCATTTTCTGAACACTGCCGGAGCCGTCTTGGCCTGGCCCATCTCCAAACATTTTCCGATAAAGTGGCACGGGAAAAGGATAATCGAACAAATGACGGTAGAACTTCCCTCAGTTGACCGCAGCCAAATACTCGAGAGAGTATAGTACACTAAGAACGTAAACGCATCGATAACTTCTTTAACAAATCCAACCACCCTTGCAGGACACCGATTACTGAAAACACGAGAAATGATGGTATGAGGCTTGTGAGCCCGGTTTGAAACATAACTCCCAAGAGCGGGTGCCTCTGGTCGCGCAGATAAATGAAACGTGACGCAGCTTTTGACAAGATGGCGGCGAAGGCGGACGGCTGTGCGCGCTGCTCCGAGCCTATTCGTGGCAGACAGCAATTTCTGCCGTAAGTGTCGTGTGAACACCGGTTACATTGCAAGTGCTTGGACATTCGATCCGACGAATACAATTTCCTCATGCAGTCTGGGTCCAGCAGGTACAAAGGCGTCAAGTGCGTGAAGCGACCTGACCGCTCTGCAGCCCAGCTTGCCTGCGCTAACGGAACCGTGGACACACCTAGCGAAAAATCTGCGTCTTGCCCAGAGATAGCGAGTACTGTCGGCGGCTCCATATCTCCGAACGTCGTATCGCTGATGCGGAAGATGCCAGGTCAAATAGACGCTCTAACGTTTGGAGTGCGACAGCTACGGGTCGAAAATGTGGCTCTTCGTGTGAAAATACGCGATTTGCGCGAATGTGTCGTCGAGTAAACGGATCTTTTGCCGCTGCACTTCGTCGGTCCACCGGCAGCACCAGCGCAACGCTTCGCCTGTGTCTCCGCGACTAGCCGAGGCTTTTCGGGTGAGGACGTCCCAGCCTTCTACTGCTCGTCCTCTGTGCAAGGTCCACCACCCCTCAGCGAAACCGGTGAGCAATCCCACGAGGCCTCCAGCTACGCTTGGCACTGCTAAGCAGTGCACACTCGAAATAGCGCCAAAAGCGCCGTCAGCCAGAGGCCTTATCGTCTCTCGTCTAGCTTCGGGTACCGGGGCGTCCGCGGTACAGGAGATACTGGCGGGATTCATTAGAGACAGAACGGTGACATGTACGAGACTGAAAAGAAGGGACCACTCGTACACTCCCTTCCGCGTTTCCCTGGACGAAGGACTGCTTGAAAGTCTTTACAAATCCGAGGTGTGGCCCGCTAGCTGCATCTTCTGTACCTTTTACAGTAGCTTGTCGCCTTCGCGGTTTTTCTAAGAGTTTGATGTCGCCCTAACAACAACTAATGGCGTCGCGCAAAACGAGCTTATACTTCTAAAACACGTAGTGCCTCAGAACAAACTGAGGCGTTTTCGCTAGTGCCTACGTCTACGAATGTGATGTCCTTTGTTTGACCAAAACTTGGTTAAAAATCCTCCTGCACAAACCACTCATACTTCTCAGATCAGTATTCCGTGTTTAGGAGCGATGGTTGAAATGGGGGCGGTGTCCTCATAGCGTGGAAATCCTTATTTTGGGTACCTTGAGACCTACGAGGAATACGTCTGGGTTAAGATGCCAGCGTAAGACGGCTCCAACTGCCTCATCGGTTTTAGGAAGGTGATGCAGGCGTGTTGGTTCATGACTTAGGAAATTGGGAACAGCGCGCAAAAAAGACAAAAATGGTCAGCTATTACCTGCAAAAGCATCTGAGTGCTCTAGAGCTTCATGATCCCTTCCTCGTCTAAAATCCGCAGTCCCTCATTGAGTCCTTTAGTAAGGACGTTCCCGACAACTCGATGGCGTTTTCAGTCGACGTGGAAGAACTCTTTTGCTCTCCCAGTTAAAAATAACCATTGGCTCCAATTAGGATATTCAATTGGAACCAACTGGAGTCAATGGAATTCAATTGGTTCTGGGTCATCCAACTGGTCATTCTAATTAGTTTCAATGTTTCCAATTGGTTACACCAACTAGGAACAACAAAATTCAATTGGCACTGGGCCACCTAATTGGTCACTCTAATTGGATTCAATGTTTCCAACTGGTTACCCCAATTAGGACCAACAAAATTCAATTGGCACTCAGCCACCTAATTGGTCACTCTAATTGGATTCAATGTTTCCAACTGGTCATCCCAATTGGGATCAATAAAATTCATTTGGCACTGGGTCACCAAATTGGTCACTCTAATTAGATTCAATGTTTCCAACTTTATGATTGATCTCCGATTGGGATCAATAAAATTCGATTGGCACTGGGACAGAACTTGCCATTATCTCTTTCCTCACCACAGTTTCCAAAGATTGCAATTTTTTTTTCCAGTATTGCGTTGCAAAAAAAGTTTTCAACATCGCAATTTGAAAGGGAGAAAAAATTCGTACACTATTTAATAAAAAAAAACGAAAAAAAAATCTGTTTCTAGATTTAGTCGGACTTGCCGGCAGCGTCGGTGTACACTGGGCGGCAAAGATGGCGCCGCGAGGACGGAGGAAGCACGAACAAGGAGGTTAGAAGTACTAGGAGGGGGCACGTTGCAATATTGGTGAAGCCTAGTCATAAAAAGTTTAAACGATTTTGTGCCCAGCGTGACCGCAGATCTGCCTGGTGATTGGTGCGCGTGCATGTCACGTGTGAGATGGGTGGTGATTGTAGAAGGACTCCTTCCAGGCTTGCGCGCGCTCCGTCCGGTAGGTTTTATCGGGTCGAAGGCTAGACTGTGGTGTATTCTAGTACCCCATAGCAAGACCAATGCTAGCTACGGTCACGTGATGTGGTCACGTTGGCATGGTAAGTGAGGAGAGTAAGGAGGGAAATGAGAAAGAGGCGAGGCGTCGAGGGAGCATGGCTTGTGGAGGCTACGCGGCCGACGTCATGCCCTCTCCTACCCTTCTATTCTCCATGAGCACGAAGCACATGGCGCCGATGGCGTGTACGGCATTCGTAGCATGGTTATGGCAATGATTCAAGAACGTTTTTTTTTGTGTTTTACTGCTGCAGAGTGCTCAATGGTGTGGTGATAATTACTTCATTTGACCTGCCAGCTTGTTCGAGCGCGAATGAGTGGCAACAAACGTTTATGGGAGCAAGGTAAGAAATTTTCTTTGTCCTTGCTGCGCTGCAGTTTGGGGATTTCGGATTGTTAGATCTACTGAGACACTCGTTGTTTGATCTTCAGTGAACGATGCGAGCGTGAATATATAGCTTTAGAGAAGAAAATTGTCCAGGCAGCTATCAGTTCGGAAGTTGTTGGGTATCCGCGAGGAAAGTTAAGTGCGTTTTAAGCATCTCAAAACTAAACTATGAATTGCTGAAAACACTGACTGGGCACAGTTTCAAAAATTGAAGCTTTGGGATTCAAAATTAAGCGATTTCGGGGGCATTTTCGATGAGTGGGAAGTGGGGTGGGGGGGTCGGTCGGTCGGTGATGTCGGGTTATTACTTCCGGAAGTTGATGACTTCTAATAAAATAACAGTAGGTGCCGAAAATTTTGCATCTCATCCGGCGGACTATTTGCAGCTATGTTTCAAAATTTACTCTGTCTCCACTCAGGGTAAGTTCAAAAACCTACCCGCGTCTTGCGTTGCCTCTGATCCATTCGAGTAAGATTTGGAACACAGCCTGCAATGCACGATTTCTTTTCGAGATGCGGAAGACACTTATTTTTTCGCCCATGCACACTTTAAGCATATTTCAGGTGCACTGGCCAGCTTTACAGAGATGCCTTTGAATTGACTGTTTCTTCTCCTTATAGCACAGATTATGTCTCACAGGCTCATAGGAAACATAGTAGTCTTAAACCATCCCAGATGCAAATTTAGCCCAGTCTCGGCAAAAGCTTCATCTCCCAATTTTGACCAGAGTGTTTCTGTCACCCAGGGATGTTTGCCTTTTAATGCAAGGCCTGCAGGTTTATACCACTGCAACTAATTTCTTTGCAGCGAAAAAAAAAGTTTAGTATGTTTCTAAGCTTGATTTAAACATTTATAATCCAATAAGGTCATTTAATGCATATTTATCCTTTATTTTAGGGAAGCT